TATATATAATTTTAATATATATATAATATATATTGTATATATATATATATATAAAATTAATTATAATTGATTGATAATATATCGCAATCATGCAATGAATCCTCGATTATTGAGCTAAACGCTCAAACGCAGATCTCAACGCCCAAAAGAGTTAACTAACTCGATCTGTTAAACCCCTTGTAAGTCGGTTACGCTCGATGCATTTACACAAGGGGTGGCTGTATATAAAGGACGTTTCTGAAAGCGCGCGCTATATGCGCACCTACGACCGGGTGTATCGTGAGGTTGAGTTACGGAGCGACCTGTTTTATTAGCTTCGGGAAGCACTGCATTCTTTCCTGTTCGAACTGTAACCGCATGCGCCAAGCGGCACCGACGACAGACATTCAGGACCGTATATGTAAAGCATGCGGCCTGGGTTATCGCATATACATAGATGGGATGCATAGATTTTTATTCAGGATGTAAGAGTGAATTCGAAGAATTTTAAGATAAGTGTAAACCGTCTTCAAAAACGGGAGCGAAAAGCTTTTTCAAATCTATATTAAACGTGGATAAATTTGTCGATGATATTAATGTAATTTTAACTACTACCTTATTGTTAGAAGAGTAAAATTTGAAACGAAAGGAAATCAATAACGTAAGATAGAAAATAATATAATTCGTATTTTCATAAAATTGTCACAATTTCTAAATAAAAGGAATAAAATATTTAAAAACTACTTTTTAATTAAATAGCTAGAAATTAAAATATTTAAAGATTTAGAAATTAAGAAATATATTATAAAGAAATTTTTATTAAAAAAATATTATGAGAGTAAGATATGAGACACATTTTATTGTGGTTATCGTCTTGAAATATATTATTCGATTGTGGACAGATACAATAGTAATTTCTTGTTAAAACTTTTCTTTGAGACGAACCTTCGTCCGAGCAACATTAAATAAAGTTAACTGGAAATTACGTCAAATCTGCTATCGGCGCGCTCATCGATCATGTGCGCCACCACGCGCGACATTTATGGGATTTCCCACTTGGATTTATGACCCGGACGAATTTTAATCCACCTTTCAAACGATGAAGCTGATTTCGGCAAGGTAATGCAATTTCCAAATGCGAGCACGTTTTATCGAACCGGTTCCTATTCGAACTGAAATATGCTCGGGCAAATTTCGTATTCGTACTCTTCCTTGTAGCATAAAACATAAATCCCTCTAACGTTCCCCGAACGAAACGACCGCAAAAATAGTGGTGCAATCGATATAAGTCATGTGCACTTATTCGAACGTGTAATTCCGTGAACACGAATTATTCAATGTTGAGAAAAACGATATTAATCGTTAATGTTGCGGTTCAAACTAAATTATTTGCGTCTTGAATTATAATTAGGAAATGAGATATCGATATATGTATTTATTTATATTCACTTTAAATTATTTTGTATGCAGTTTTCTAAAACAAATATTATTTTGAGATTCGAAGATCTTTTGATTGATTTAAAATTATTTGTAATTTTTCTTCTTTTTCACAATTTTTACGAAAATTTGTAGTAAAAAATTTTTTAAATCATTTTTAACATAATATAAACGTACCTTTGTCAAGCTGTTTGATTTGACATTTTTAACTTGTTTCTATGTACAGATAACTCACTATCGTATCTACCTGCCTTTATCGTAACTTTTCAAGAAATGCCTTTTACTTAAAGGTTTTCGTTTATTTGGAAATTCAGTTTTAATATATGTATAAATGATACTAATATATAATTTCCATGATATTTAAAAAAAGTGAAATAATGTTATAATTATTGTTACATTGTTATATTCAGCCTTTAGAATATTATGAAATATTAGCGACATTTATACATACATATATTGTATGTAAAACCACTATGAATTTTTAAAAGAAAAATTTTTAAACAAAAATATTTTTCTCGAAAAGTTAATAAGTAAAGCCACGTGTAGATACGATAAGTTATCTGTACATAGAAATAAGTTAAAAATATCAAATGTAAAGCATAAAACGTTAACTTAACAAATACACGTTTCCATTAAATGTAAATTTCAAAATTTAGAATTCTAATTTTTCCGCATCGGCACATAGTTTTATACATTTTGAAGATTAATTTGTAGAGAAAAGGAGTTTATGTGGATCAAGAGAACGACAATTTTAATATCTAATAGTACTGATGCAATCTAAGAAAACATTTGTTATATGCATCTGTCCTCGATAGAAATTGTGTTTAACTGGCTAGATTAGGTGCAAGATATAATTTTACATTTGTCACTTTATGCGGAAACTATAACAACGATAACGTCAAAGCGGTGAAGGGCGGTGAAAGGTGAAACAAACTGCGAGTGCATTTCGAATATACGTGCACATTTTAAAAGAGATAGAAATACGTTAGATTTCTTTCTTTAAAATAAATAAGCAGCTCCTATCTTTGAGTATAGTTATTGCAATAATAGTAATCTGCCATGTTGATCCACACGATACACATCAATCGCGTTCGTTTCGTGATCTGCATCGACAAATTAATGCATTCGGCTATACCGCATCATTTCGCGCGGCGCAAACACGAAGGATCATTTTGCTATTTTACGTTCACTCGGGTTTACGCCTGTATGATATGGTTTGCATTAATGTAGGCCGACATATACGTAGAAGAAAGCCTTACGTTAAAATCCGCTCAAGAACGAATGGAAATGTCATCGTGCTTGCACTAGGCTTTATCTCCACTCCGTTTCGATAATTTGTCGAGCGCAAATTGCGTCGCGACGAGGAATGATTTAAAATGTATGAACGCTTTTCGAAGGCTATTCTTTGGCCCCCTTTCCCCTTCCCAGTATCGTCTCGTATGAGGGAGAGGGGGCGGTCTCCTCTGCGATAACGATGCGACCTACTACCGCACCTTCAAGCAATAATTAGAAACTGTTATCCTCACGACGCATATTACTCCGTAACACTTTGTCCTGCATAGCCTTGAGACGTAGAGGACGTCTCGTGACATTCCGTTATTCAGAAGCTGGGCCTTCAGCTCGGAGCCGGAATAACGTATTGTAATCCATACCTTGACGTTTCAATAATAAAAATTTATCTGATTTTTTATTCTCACATTTAATAATAATTCATCATTTGTGTTTATATAATTCTATGTCGTTTATAGGGTGACTTTTATGACACATTTTACAAATGTTTAAAATTATTAATTAATTATCTCTCTACTTCTGTTATATTTGCTATTTCTTCCTCATTAAGCACTCAAATAAAAGTCGTAAGGTGTGTATTGCTATTGCGAACATTGTATTGGTAGGTAATTATTATTTTGTATTTTTACATCAACAACCGCTATGGCATCGGCAATTTGAATTAATTTGTAATTTATATTCGTTTATAAATTTATTTGAAGTCAAATAAATTTACTTTTATCATATATAAAATTATAAAGCTACAATTTTCTAATTTTCTCACATCGGCACATAATTTTACCCATTTTACAGATTAATTTGTGAAAGAGAAGAATTTATAAGGTCAAGAGGAAAATTTTAATAAATAAAGAAAAAATGTGAACTGTATTACTTAGATTATAATTGGAAAATATACAAGAGATTATTTTACAATTAAATCGTAAATGGACTAAGAATAGAAGCAAAAGATTTTTATTCGAATCTGATGGTTCGATATATTTCCGTGTGTTCAGTCGGTGGGTATTAGAGATTTAATATGTATCACGTTCGACTTGGTGAGCGCGCAGGCTT